GCCCTTGGCGCTGGACCTCAGTGTCCGGATGAACGATGGGGATGAGAACTCCTTCAGGTATACCAGGCCGAGGCTGTTTAGGGCTTTAAAGGTCAGCACCAACACTTTGAATTGTGCTTGGAAACATACTGGGAGCCAATGCAGATCTCTCAGGACCAGTGTTACATGGTCTTGGCGGCCACTCCCAGTCACCAGTCTAGATGCCACATTCTGGATTAATTGCAGTTTCCAGGTCACCTTCAAAGGTAGCCCCACGTAAGCGTGTTTGCAGTAGTCCAAGCGGGAGATAACTAGAGCATGTACCACTATGGTGAGACAGTCCGCGGGCAGGTAGGGTCTCAGCTTGTGTACCAGATGGAGCTGGTAGACATTTGCCCTGGACACAGAACTGACCTGCCCCTCCATGGACAGCTGTGAGTCCAAAATGACTCCCATACTGCGCACCTGGTCCTTCAGAGGCACAGTTACTCCATTCAGGACCAGGGAGTCCTCCACACTCGCCCAGCCCCTGTCTCCCCAAAATAGTACTTCTGTCTTGTCAAGATTCAACCTCAATCCGTTAGCGGCCATCCATCCACATTATCTGTTGGCTGCCATATGTCCTGAATGTTCTGACACAATCTTGGGATCAAAAGTTGATATCAAACTGTTTAAAAATGCATATTTTGAGATGAAATATATTTCTATTTTTTTAAAAATAGGATTTATATGCCACTAAGTGGGCAATCCTATGGGATGAGCAGTTAAGGATGCAGCAGATAATAGTGAGCCAGACAGACTTATGGTCTGACTCAGTGTAAGGCGGCTTCCTGTGTTTCCGTGTTGAGAGCTGTCCCCCGTGAGAAACAGAATGCTGAGCATGATGTCACTTTTCTCCCAACCAATCAGGGCACTTGTTATCTCCCGTGTCATTGCAGAATGGGAACTGGAGGTGGTCCGATGAGTCCTCCTACAACTACAAGAACTGGATGCGAGGGGAGCCCAACAATCTTTGGAATTCCGAGTACTGTGTGGCTTTGAGGGCTTCCACAGGTGGGCAAGTTACAGTCCTCCCACTGATGGGTAGTTGTGTAGCCTTGAGGTATACGGCAACCGTGACGACTCTCTCAGCCTTGGGTGAGACGTAAATAGAACAGAAAAGATTGGGCTGATTCAAATACAGTGGTACCTCGGGTTAAGAACTTAATTCGTTCTGGAGGTCTGTTCTTAACCTGAAACTGTTCTTAACCTGAAGCACCACTTTAGCTAATGGGGCCTCCTGCTGCTGCTGTGCCGCCACCGTACAATTCCTGTTCTAATCTTGAAGCAAAGTTCTTAACCCGAGGTAATATTTCTGGATTAGCAGAGTCTGAAACCTGGAGCGTATGTAACTTGAAGTGTATGTAAACCGAGGTACCACTGTAAAGGAGGGGGGCAAACAGTGGGAGCCTCCCTTGTGGGAAGGGTCACTTTGGTTGATGGTATTTAAGCAGAGGCTGGCCCGAGTTCTGTCAAGGATGCTGCAGATTTTTGCACCGAAGAGGAGAATTGAAGTACAGTAGACGACACCTAAGTTCCATTGAGTGCTAAAATTCTATGATTTTATGAAATATTCACCCTCCTTTATCTTATGATCACATTTTTAGTTTTTTTTGGGGGTGTGCATGATTTTTCAGCTCTCTCTCACACACACATATTTGTAGAGGTCTCTTGCAAAGCATGCACCTCAACCCCAAACACACATTCAAGTCTCTGGTGTCCTCCCATATATGTGTGGTATTCAGACAGGTAAATACACTTGGATCCATTAAGTTCTAAAGATCTACACTGAGTGGAACTTAACTGGATGCAACTCAGAATGCTGGTTTGGATCAGGTGTGGGGAACTTGCAACCTTCCTGATCGTGTTGGACTACAACTTCCATCATCCCTGACCATTGCCCATCCTGAGGTTGATGGGATTTGGAGCAGAACAACAAACAACATCCTGAGGGCCACAGCTTTGGGTTAGACCGATGGTTGGATCCAGCACAAAGCAGTACATAGTAAATACATAGCTCTTTACTCTGCCTTTTGAAACATGAGATGTATATTTTTAGGATCCACCTTGTTTCTGTGATTGTGAGTTGTTTTAAACTGTTTCTAACATTGTGCTTTAATTGTTGAAACCCACCCTGGCACTTTAGGGTAAAAGGCAGGCAAATCCTCTCCCTCATTTGCTCATGAGCTAATCAGACTATACCATGTCGTTATCTTCTAAAACATGCCATGGAACTTTCAAAATGGGTTTGTTAGAGCAAAACTAATAGACTCAAGTTGTAAATTTCAGAAATTGCCTCCTGAATTAGGCAGGACCCCCACAAATATCCAGGGACTATAGCTGACAGATTCCTGGCCCATCCTTGGTGCCATAACAAACACAGATATATGCAAATAAAAAGAACAACAACTGTACCTTGAGATACTTTGAAAATGCTTGAAATGGAGAATGGATAAGAATGGACCTTGGATTCTCTTTTTCCATTGCAGAGTACAAGAGATGGATTGATGCTGTTTGCAAGAAACATAAAGCCTACATCTGCAAACATGAGCTCTAGAAGAAGGGAGACTGTCAGTCTATGGAAGGTTGGGTTAGATGGATCAAAGCACATCTCCTTGGAATCAAGGGAGTCAGAAGATGATCCAGCAATGTTACCACCTCTACAGTTCATCCTTTGTTATGCCAAGAAGATCTTCCTTCAAAAGATGACATCTATCTAGTCACTCTCAGCCCTTATCCAGGGCTGGTCTCTGAAATACTGTTATGATCACCTCTGTTGCTAATGCTCTTGGCTCCAGGCAGTGCACGGACATTAAAGTGAACAACCCGTTTCTCATGGGTGTTTATAATGAGAGAACACTTGATCTGGTTTTTCTTTGGTTTATTTTGATGGAACAATGCATCGGTCTTGCTTGTTAAGGTATCAGGTTATGTGACCCTCAATCTTGTTTCTAACACAGAACACAATATGACACTTCCCAACTCTAGAAGTTGCAAGAAGGCAGATGTTGACCCAAAACAGAAACACAATAGGGAAAAGCCCCAAACTAGCAATTAGCAGACACTTTGGGGAACAGATTTCCTCCAAACAGAGCAGTTAAAACTTATTTCATCTCAGGTGGGATCTACACACATATTAAAAATGCTGAGAAAATGCTTTTTGAAAAAACAGTTTTAAAAAAGGCATTGACTTTGGCATAGTTCACTGTTGCCTTCTAGTGTCACATTTGTCTATTGCACTTCACAACACATTTAAAACATTTTATTTGCAGCTGTATAGCTCAGAGTTAGTGAGACAAAGCTTGCTTACTCAGAATACAGGAACTCACACTCTGCATCTCACATACACAATATGACCAACTTTAAGTATACCTGCAGAAACATGTGAAGTCACACACACACACACACACACACACACACACACACGTAACATCTCATCCCCTCTATGATGCAACCTTAGTTCCCCACTGCCATTACTACCAGGTCCATCATTTTGACCGCAGTGGTCTCATCAAGTTCTTGCCAGGAGCACATAATAGCTGCTGCAGTACAGGGAAGACAAGAGTGTTGTGACAATGTACTGACCCTTCAGCCAGATGTCACAAGATTTCTATTGCCCCTGGTGTTAAATTCTGTAGTCAGACCTGCTTGACCATCCCAATATCACACAGCTAGTCATTCTGGAAATGGCCTTGCATGCCCCAGGTCCCAATGTTCAGTCAGCAGCATCTCAGGTACACAGGATCAAAGTAATGCTGAGAGGTTGGAGACTTGTTAGTTAGCATAGATCAGCCTTTCCCAGATATTCCTATGGGATAACTCAATGGATAGCTGCTTCCTGATCAGCTCTTGCAGAGAGAGTTACATAGGAAGCTGCCTTACAGAAAGTCAGACCATTGGTCTATGTGGCTCAGAATTGCCTACTATGGCTGGCACTGCAGTGGTACTGTCACACTGTAAGATCAAGCCTGGACTGCCTTGTAAAATCTCTGCTTGAACGGCTAAGTTCAGAGTGGAAAATTTTGCTGGAGGTCTGTTATGCACTTGTGTGTGTGTGTCCCCTTTCTCTTCAATATGTCATTTCATATTAGGGATCATTAGGAAAGGATTGGGAACAACCAACAACAGACCTTCCCAAATCTCTCAAATCTTAGGGAGTTTGAGATGAGTGGCCCTCACTATGGAAACAATTACCTAAGTTTCCACAAGTCTTTCTCTGGGTAATCTCGAATCTCTTCAGCAGGGGAGTTAGAGCAAGATCTCCACATGTTTGGCAACAGATTGGAAAGGGTATCTGACTCCCTGTTAACAATGAGAGTAACTCATATGAAGGGTTGGTTCTGGGGAGGTCAACATGTAAATGCAGAAATGTGGGGGTTTTTTTTGGGGGGGGGCTGGTTATTGGGCTGTTGTTTTTATTTTGATTATATATTTTGTGGTTTTATATTTTGATTTTGTTCTGTGAACCGTCCTGAGACCTCCGGATGTAGGACGGTATATAAATTCAGTAAATAATAATAATGAAATAAAACTGTCATTCTATAACACCACACACCTTCCCATCCAGCCCAAATCGTCCAATCCAGGAGTAGGTGTTGGCGCAGCAGGAGGGTTGAGTACCTTGCTGTACAATAATAAGCATGTTTATGTTTTTGATGTAAAATGCTTAAAACATTAATAATAATAATAATAATAATAATAATAATAATAATAATGTGCAAAAGAAAGTCCATGTGCAAAAGGGCGATAGCTCAGTGGCAGAGCACCTCTTCTGCATGCAAAAGGTTCCAGGTTCAATCCCTGGCCTCTTCATGTAGAACCAGGAATGTGCCCTGTCTGAATAACCCTGGAGAGCTGCTATCATTCAGTATGAGCAATGCTGAGCTCAAACTCAGTATAAACCAGCTTCCTATGCACTTCTTATCTGACCATTCTAGAGCAGGTTAAGTCAACTGAGAAGGACAAAAACGCACTAGAAAATATATGCATAAAAGAGAGTTTATTAAGATCACCATGTGCTGCATGCACAGAAAAATGCCAAAGAGAGAGATCAAAGAGGTTGCTCTTCAGAGATGGGATGAATGGGAGAGATGGTCTTTCACTCTGAGGGATGGGAGAGGGGTTAATGCGATCAGAGAGAAATCCACCAAGCCAGCGTCCGAACAGGCACAGTTTGGGAACAACAGTCTTCTTTACAGTTCATGCTTGCAGATGTAGGCATTGAGTTTCTTGCACGGAGCGTCATTCCACTCCTTAAAACCTAAAATGCAAAAAGACATAAGAAAAAATTACTACCTCTTGCTCCAGTGAGTGTGGTCATCACTGATAGCCTCATCCTCCATAAATCTGCCTAATCTTCTTTTAAAGCCACTCAAGCTTCTGGCCATCACTGCCTTTTTGGGGGGTGAATTCCATAGAAGAACCATGTTCTCTCCTTTTGTCTGTCCTTGATCTTCCAACATCCAGCTTCATTAAAGGAGGACTCAAAATGTTAAGGCCTTTAATACCTGGGCTGTCCAATGAAGCTGGATGTTGGAAGATTGAGAACAAGACAAAAGGAGGTACTCTCCATCAGGAAAATGTGCAAATGCTTTGCTTACCTGTGCTTAGTCTCAGCTCCACACAGTGTTCAGCATTGCGGTAGTTGTCTGGCTGGTGTTTCATCCAGGCCTTATAGTTGTAGGTGGATTCATCAGCCCACCTCCATCTCCTGGTCTGTAGAAATGAGACAGAACAGATCATGCAATGTAGGGAATGATGGGCCCAGAAAGAGAAAGATACCATTGGAATGACACCAATGCAAAATGAACTGGAAAGGTTGTCCAATGGGGAGCTGTTACCAACTGTGACGCAGACAGTAGAGGAGGCCATCCATAGAAAATAATGGAGAAACAGCATGTGGGATTAAATTTGGGAGATTGTTGAGGTAAGAGTGGAACGGTATTGCTAAGGAGCCGCTGCTCAGTTCTGATAAGCAGAAATGGAGCCCTATTCTATTTCTTGGTCTGCAGGAAGAAGACAGAACAGATCATGAGATAAAGGAAGTGTGAGGAGCCCAATACAGAGATGATTTGGAGAGGCTGGCCTGTGGGGAGCTAATGTCAGCCATGATAGAGAAGAAGAGAAGTACTCTCATGGAAAATAACAAAGTGGTTTGTGTATGATTCTGGGAGATGATTGGGATAAGGATGGGATGGAATTGCTATAGAGTCACTACTCAGTATTGATGATAGCCAGGAATGAAGCACATGAGAGAAGCTCACCTGACGGACATCGTGGAGCCCAATCCAGACGTTGCTTATTTCTTGCTGGTAAGTAGAGATGTGCTCGGCCACCAAGAGAGTCTCTGCTTTGGTGAGGACAGAGGCGAGGTGGGCTCCACGGCCATAGCTCTGGCACTCAATCTGAGGACGGAGAAGAAGCAGGGAAGTTTTGTCCCCAATGGTCATATCTGACCATCAAGATTGGTGCTGTCCCTTCTGACTGTTACCTAGCCTTCTAGGTGCCCATGGAGACATATCACCAGAACATGAACAACTGTGGAGACTGAGATGCTGGCCAGATGCTGCCTCAAGGCAACTCACATTGATAACCTTACTTATGGAAATCTGATGAGAAACCCATAATAAGGTAGGGAACCCCTTTCAGCCTGAGGACCCCATTCCCCTCTGGGCAACCCAGGGATGAAGGAAGGAGAACTGGCACCTGGTGTAGGGGGTCAGGGCAAACCACATGTGCGTGCACCGTATGTACCGCACATGTGTATGCGCCATGCGTACAACGGTGGGATCCTTTGTTCACGGCTGCTGTACACATGGTGGTGGAGGGTGCAACCGTGAGTGGAGGATCCTCTGTACATGGCTGCAGCAATGCGACGGTGGCGGGGCGAGTCCCCCATGGGGTGCCTTCTTGTCACCCCCCTCAGAGGCGGCACCCGGGGCCGAACGCCCCCACCCCCCTTCCTCCACCACTGGGGCAACCTCTTGTTAATGGTGAGCAGGACCACAGGCAAAAGTGGGCAGAATAATGAATGTAAATGATGCCTTTGTACCAAAGGCTAGTTTCCACTCACCCTTCTATCCCCTATCCAAGAAGCAACCTTGGAGTTCAAGGACACATTCCAGTCCAGCAAAACCCTCAGGGAAGAGGGTGTGTGACTGGGGAGGAGATGTGGACTAGAGAGATCCTTGAGGGCCCGATCAAATGGGCTAGATTTAGTCTCCTGGCCTGTGTTTCCCCACATTGACAACAAGAATCCCTTCTTACCTCAGCCTCTTGCCAGCTCAATTTATTATCAAAATACGCATAACAGTTGCCCTGGTTTTGCAGCCACTCCCTGGCACAGGTGTCGGCCTCAGCTGTATGGAGAGAGGATGGGGGGGGGAAGATGCCCCAAGAAGGCAGAGCAGTGAGAAGACATGTCTTTAATGTGCTCTCTGAAATCCTACTTCCATCTACACCATATGTGTCATTTATTTATTTATTAAAAACATTTCTGCCCTGTCCTATTATGCAAAATAGGGCATTTATGTGTGGCTATGTCTGCTCAGGAGTAGGCAGCCCTGCCTTCCTTTCTAAACAGGAAGCTGGCATCCCTAGCCAGATGTAGGTCTATTCATGAACAAACAGACTTCTTAACCTTTCAAGAAACCCACAGGTGGCATTTTGGGACAAGGAAGGATACCTCCTGGGTTTGCTGGAGAGGACACAAATAACTGCACATAGAAATCTGCCTTGTAATGAATTAGGCCATTGGTATCCATTGCAGACCAGTATTGGCTACCCCAGGGATGGGGGATCTGTGGCCTTAGACTCCATTGAGAAAGGATAGATAACTTTAAAATCAATGAATTATGGCCTAATTTAAAACACTCTTCTGCTCTGTTCTAAATAGCCTACCGTCCTTTGAAAATATAACATGCACTTTAATTACAGCTCAACCCAACAACAATTTCTGGGTAAGCCTCAGACATTTATAAAATTGCTCACCTTCCTGGAAAGGACTGGAAATTAGGATTCCAAGAAGGCAAAGACTGAAGTAGGTGAAGAGTCCCATCTTCTGGTTGACCTTTGAGGGAGATGAATTTACAGCACGGTAAAATCAAAGTTACATTCATTGGTTGCCATACATACAATGGGAGGGAGGGAAGGAGGGAGGGAAGGAGGAAGGAAGGATTGCATTTCTCTTTTATTTGAACTTCCAAGAACCAGGAAGGTTCTTGGAAGGGAGAAACTGGGAAAGAACTGGGAAGAAGGGAGAAACTGAAATTTTGAATAGTTGTCAGTGTTATGAAAGGGTATATTGACATTGATTTAAAGTGAGCTTCATCAGCTTCAGTTAGGAACATTTTGTGATCTTTTTCTTTTAGATGCTCATAAAAATTCCTTACATTTTAGTGCAAATTTCTGTTAAGAAACACTGCTTTGTATGCAGTTTTGAGTAATGTACACATTTTCCCAAGCAATTTCCCCATATATAATTCATTTTTGGAACCACTATTTGGTTGGAGAACTGTATCATAAAATTCAGACAAGTTTGAATTTCGAAAGGAGAGCTGTGTTTCAGTTTGCATATTTTTTTCGGAAAGTGAGAATCTGATATATTTGCCTTTAAATCCATTTTCTCTCCCATCCCTATATACACCCCCTGGTGGTTATTCAGTCTACCTGTTAACTGGAAATCAAATTTCGATCTGCACACAGTCCATGCAGGTTTTCTGTTCAGCTTTTGTGCCAATTTTCTTCTCTGTCTGATCTTCTTTTTCTGTCTGATTTGTGAACTTAGGGCTCATCTGCACTTACTCCATGCTTTCTAGGCAAAGGTTCAAGCTTTCCAAGTCTGTGTCTGAACAGGGTTCTTTATTTTTATTCCCCCCCCCAGGGCTTTCCATGGGAAAACCAAAGTTTTACCACTGAATTGGAGCAAATGGCAGTCTGTGGAAAAGCCAATTGCTGTTTGCTCTGACTAAATGGTAAAATGTGAGCTTTCCCAGGGAAAGCTCTGGGATTAAAAAAAACAAAACAAAACCCTGATCAGACACAGATTTGGAAAGCCCAGTTCTGTGCCTAGAAACACAGCATAAAAGGAAGCATGGATGAGCCCTTATCTGCTTAGTGACAGAATTATACATTGTTGTTTTCCACCAGTCAGTGGAGACTGATCCATTAGGGCAGTGATAACCAAACTTGGCCCTCCAGCTGTTTTGGGACTACAATTCCCATCATCCCTGACCACTGGTCCTGTTAGCTAGGGATGATGGGAGTTGTAGTCCCCAAACAGCTGGGGGGCCAAGTTTGGCCATCACTGCATTAGGGCAAATAGGAACTGCCCCACCAACCTCAGCCTGCCCTCAGCTAATCCTCACTTTCCTGCTTTCCTATTTACAACCAACCAGTGAGTGGCTCTGCCTGCCATTGGCTGTGGCTCCATCAACTGTTGGCCTCCCTGCCTTTGGCCCTATCAATTCTAGTGGGCACCAGCCACCCTCACCACAAGTCCTTGTTCACGAACCTTTCAACCATCTCCCTCACGGCCTTTGAAAAAATCCCTTCACCAAGACTCGTAGATCACTTCCACAAGCTCTTACCTTGCGATGCTGTTCTTCTGGGTGGACCAGTGTGGTTGTCAGCTGAGCCAGGTGCCTCTCTGATGGTCTCACCTAGTCTGGGCGGCTGTTATATAGACCCCAGGCAGAGGTGGTGCAATACCAAGATGAGCAGAATGCTGCAAGGAAATCCTGGTCTGATGCCTTCAGTTTTGCATAATTTAAGGCCAAATCAGTGGAATGTAGCTTGCATCAACCTCTCTTTCAATTTGGTGGGGAAAAGCATAGTGTGTGTGTGTGGGGGGGGGAGTTTTGAATCCATTTCCTTATGAAGAGGAACAGGAACCACATTCTTAATCAACCATGGAAATACTGGTCCGATGTCTTCAGTCTTGCATAATCCAGGGCTGAATCGGTGGAATGCGGCTTGTATTTCTAGCCTTGAGCATTGCAAAAAGGGCATCATGATACCCTTTAGTTATCTATAAATTTGTTACATATGATCAAAAATAAATATTTAGGTGTAGAAAGGCATATGGTGTTGGGGAGGCTTTTTAAAAAGCGATATTATTAACTAGGAGAGTAGGAAAAGCATTTATGAAAATGATTATCAGATATGAAGAAACCTGCTCATTTTTCTTCTATGGGATTAAATTCCAGAGAGTGACTTTTTTCTAGCCCAGAGCTTCAGCATCTGACCCTCCCCAACCCAGTTTTTCTATGAAATTATTGCTTAGTATTCCTGTCCCCTAAGTAGTCATCCTCAGCCAGACCGCAGGGGCTTGGATAGTGAACATAAAGCTTGGGCAGGTGAGGATGACTACTTGAAAATGATTTACAGATGGTATTGAACTCCGAGTAGGCTTGCTAAGATGTATAAGACTGAATCAGAGAAGTGCTGGAGATGCAATGAGGTTGAGGGAACATTCTTTCACATGTGGTGGACCTGTAAAAGTGTAAAAGATGATAGGGAAATAATCCATAATGAATTGAAAAAAAAAATCTTTAAAAGTACTTCCCCCAAAAACCAGGTATCAAAAAAGATTATATATGTATGACACAACTGCAGCCCGTGTTTTATTAGCCCCAAAATGGAAACGAGTGAGGTCCCAACTAAAGAAGAATGGCAACTTAAGCCTGATGGAATATGCGCAGCTTGCAGATTTAACTTCTAGAATGAGAGAACAAGAAGAACATACATTTAGAGAAGATTGGAAAATGTTTATTGAATATATGGGGGAAAATTTGTGTACACTTGAAAACGCTGGAAGCATTAAGATAAATTCAAAAGTGTAAATAAGTTTTTATGGATGTAATAATGGAATACTGAATGGTTTAGTTTATGTAAAATATACAGGGATTTATGATGTGCAAAATGAACCATGGAAAGAGAAGAAGGGAAGTCTATCTCTATATCTATCTATCATCTATCTATCTCTATCTATCTATCTATCTATCTATCTATCTATCTATCTATCTATCATCTATCTATCTATCTATCTATCATCTATCTATCTATCTATCTATCTATCTATCTATCATCTATCATCTATCTATCTATCTATCTATCTATCATCTATCATCTATCATCTATCATCTATCATCTATCATCTATCTATCTATCTATCTATCTATCTATCTATCTATCTATCATCTATCATCTATCTATCTATCATCTATCATCTATCTATCTATCTATCTATCTATCTATCTATCTATCTAATCTATCTATCTATATCTATCTATCATCTATCTATCTATCTATCATCTATCTATCTATCTATCTATCTATCATCTATCTATCTATCTATCTATCTATCTATCTATCTATCTATCTATCATCTATCTATATCTATCTCTATCTATCTCTATCTATCTATCATCTATCTATCTATCTATCATCTATCTATCTATCTATCTATCTATCTATCTATCTATCATCTATCTATCTATCTATCTATCTATCTATCTATCTATCTATCACTATCTATCTATCTATCATCTATCTATCTATCTATCTATCTATCTATCTATATCTATCTATCTATCTATCTATCTATCATCTATCTATCTATCTATCATCTATCTATCTATCTATCATCTATCTATCATCTATCTATCTATCTATCTATCTATCTATCTATCTATCTATCATCTATCTATCTATCTATCATCTATCTATCTATCTATCATCATCTATCTATCTATCTATCATCTATCTATCATCTATCTTTCTATCTATCATCTATCTATCATCTATCTATCTATCTATCTATCTATCTATCATCTATCTATCTATCTATCTATCTATCTATCTATCTATAATCTATCTATCTATCTATCTATCATCTATCTATCTATCTATCTATCATCTATCTATCTATCTATCTATCTATCTATCTATCTATCTATCATCTATCTATCTATCTATCATCTATCTATCTATCTATCTATCTATCATCTATCTATCTATATGCTTGGGCAGGTGCATATGGATGTCTGCTATAGACAAATCTCACAGTTGTGAAGATGTGTTACAAACCCAAACAGACTGAATTCCAGGTGTGGCAGTTAGCATGTACACAATGGGTTCAGCTTGTGAGAAGACAGCTGGACAGTCTACACCTGCAACGACTCGGCTACCATAGACACAAACCTTCGCATGAATTAGCCTGGGGGTGTCTTCAAAGAACACCTGTGACATAGAGCCCAGTTCAAATCAAAAACCAATCAAACCTGTGAGCATCAGTTCACCAAAGACCATTCAGTGAGGCAGCTTTCATTATGCATCCACTCTTTCACCAAGCTGGCCAGCGGCTGCGGATGCATTGCAACAGTCGCACTATGGTGTGACCAGAGGCCTACAGACACAAAACACTCGTACGCAGCTACCCCATGTTGAGAAACAATGGCAAAGACAAGATCAACCTGAGTGATGGTTTGTGAAACCTCTCCACTGTAGGAGGCGTCAAAGGAGAACCCTGAGGCCTATAGATTTCCTTATGGCCTGAAAAGGACAGCTGAAAGGTCTATGTATGCAAGGATATTTCAGATTTTTGACAGTTCAGCCATAAGCCTTTCTTCCTTAAGTCTTTCTTGCAAAATCTCACTTCTGCTTCGATCAGTGCACTATAGGGTGAGAACGGTAGTTTGGCTGATGATGGGCACGAGCAATAATATCAGCTGCAAATAAAACCTGGGTCTCAGCATATGTCCTTGCATTCATTTTTTAAAATTTTTTTTAGTAAAGTGTAGAAGAATACATGACCAAAAGATGCTCCAACAATAATTTGTTGATATGTACAGACTGATTTCACAAAGTTAAGTTAAGCTAAGTAGATATATAAGATTGAATGTTTAATTATTAAGATACAAAATTACAATCTCAATAATAAAGTTACAAAATAAGAAGAAGGAAGTCAAGCACGGGTGGAGGGAAGACACAGGGCAAGAAATAAGAAATGGATAATGAAATGTGAAAATGTGAATTTATGAATATAATGTATATGTATCATTATGTAAAGATTTCATATATGTATTGCAACATTAAAAATAAATAATAAATAAATAAATGGAAATATATATATTATATATATATATATATATATATATATGTAAAATCATGTCTGGCCACCATGTTGTTGATTCAGTCTTATGCACTCATCCTTGCCATCAGATATCCCCTAAGAACAAGAGGGTAGACCTATGGGAAATACAGTGCCAGCTCCTTTTTAGGTTTTGAAGATCACAGGGGTAGCCTGTTGGGCATGCCAGTCTCTATATATTTATCTGTGTCCCCTGAGGAAAAGGGATGACTACAAAGAAGATGTGGCTAACCCTTTTGGGGCCAGTGGGCACATTTGTATATTAAGAGGAATTTGCAAAGAAATGCTAATGAATTTTTATAAAGACTTAAAACTCCCCCAAAACAACCAAACCTCTCCCTCCCACAAACTGATGTGGAAATGTGGAAAACTAAACTGAAGAGCAGAAGAAATGAAGAACTGAGAGATCTCGAAATGGAGTTTCGCCCATCCCTACCTGTACACCACAAGTTCCCAAATCTTATATTTTCCAACTGCCCCGCTGAACTTCCTGCCCCCCATGCTTCCATGGTGCCACCTGAAACAGATCGTTTTGATCTGGTGCATGGCAGGGCTGACTCTGCTTCAAAGGGTTCCCAGTGTTCTTTGGGGGAGAATCCATGACGGTCTAAAACTGACAACAGTTTGTGGTGCATGTAACATGACCTTTTCCAGCCCAACCTTTCGTCAAAGGTTGCTGTGATTAAATTGAGCCCCAGGTATGACATTATGTGGTCCCTTGGGTAAGAGCAGGGTGGAAGTTTGACCCCAGAAGAATCTGAGCTGTTGACTAAGATTTCCTCTTTTCAGTGGAAAAAAAACTTTGCTTAGTAAGTCCATTTTATTAATTATTATAATTATTCCAGTTGTTCTTACTTTATCTGCAAGCCACTTTGAGGCCCTTTTAGAGAAAAGGCAGGGTATAAATGAATGAATGAATGATCTTTATTATTTGGACACTAGAACCTGTAGACACCCAACAAAGCTGAATGTTGGAAGATTCACAGCAGACAAATTCTTCATAGTTAAACTACAGCATTTGTAGTGATGGCCACCAATTTGGATAGCTTACAAAGACCATTGGGCAAATTCATAGAGGATATGGCTATTGGTGGCAACCAGCCCTGATGACTATGTTCTACCTCCATACCACTGGAGGCAATATGCCTCTGAATGGCAGCTGCTGGAAACCGCAGGAAGGGATAGTGTGCTTGAGACAAAGTC